ACAGAATATTTTCTTTCTGAAGACTTCTGATATATGGCTATTGATTATTATACCTCGTATACCTGATTGCTCAAACACTTTGTTTACAATCATTGAAACGACCGACTCATGGTTTTCTCTGAAAACTTCTTTGCTTTGAAATAGTATAGATTAGTAAGCTGAAACGAAAAATTAATCAGGGAAGTTTACGAAAAATCCAGCGAACAAGCTTAAAAAAGGCATTTAGTTAGACTTTATACTGCGATGAACTTCACAAATCTTACTTGTTTATCTCGTAAGTAAACAATGGCAGATTAATACCCGAAGTGCTTTCTGAGTTTCCCGATCCCTCTCCTACTGCTTTCACGCTCACCAAATAGGAAAAAATCAAAAGGAGGAAGATACAGCTGTTTTGAAACGCCATTTGACGAGGGTAAATCTGCTTTTTGTTCGACACTTTACATATCAAAACAAAGGAAATTTGTTCCTCTTTTTGATTCAGGCGGTACATTTTTAAATTGCGCTTGCGTAAAAAAGATATCGCCCGAGACGCTTCGCTCGGTTGTGTTTTGTACAAAAACGCCTTGTTAATTTCACGCAACCGCTCGGAGAAAAGGTTAAAATGACGAGGGAAAAACTTTACCTTCAAGTTAGAAAATTAGCGAAATAGAAAGCCACAATATTATAGTTTAATATTTCAGAGGTACATTGAGTGCTTTTTCCGTAGAGAATCCGCACGATGGTAAAATGTTCGAAAATTACACTCGATTTGAGTGGGGCGTTGAAGTGGGCGTGGTCACTATATTCATGTTAAGACTATTTGTACCCCGTGAGTTTGATATGTTATTCCAGAAAAAAGCGATTCAGAGGAGTGCAAGACTAATTTGGAGTGCAGAAAGAGTATAATGCAGAGAAAACCATTGTAACAATTGGGCAAAGTTGACTAGATATGCAAGCTATACCTTTAGCCGGTAGTATTTTCTAATCCTCCTGAGATCCTACCGGCCAGAGGTACAAGACAATAGAAATTTCATCTCGAGTATCTTTCCAACCAGTATCACTATGAAAGGGCATTAGAGTGGCGATACTATACATAAGTTTTGTTTACCTTTGCAACCGTAGGTCTTAGCGACTACAGTGTTAAGCGAAGACTCTACTGAACAAGAAACTTAACATCGACGTGGGCGAAGGAAACAGCCACACAAAATTTAGCGAAATTTCCTGGATTGAAACTCAACAATGTATACTTCGGTAAAGTTTCCGCACAGCCCCATACTATTGTAAAACAAAGTAATTTAGTGTTAACAACTGGGTTGAAAACGCAAATTAGCCACCGTAAAGGTTAAAAAGCTGACGTTTCGAGCGTTAGCCCTTCGCTGTTTTCCCAATGGCAATGTATTGTTTTTGTCATTGTTTTCTTTATGCAAGAACTGAATACATAATGTAGTATGGGGCTGTGCGGAAATTTTACCTATACTTCACATGTAAAGCATGTTATAATGTTCATGTCTGGTTCAAGCACATCGCTTGACTGTTAGTTGATCGCAAATGGTGTTACTGGAATAGTCCGCCATTTTGCAGCAGCAAACAATTTCCGGAGACTCGTCATTAGTGCTCCTCGGGCGTACTTCGAGCCGGTAGTGCTCCTTGGGTTTGCTTTCCATTTTATGCACAACACATGGCTGACAATTGATCAAAATGGCGGCGCGTGTGGGTTGCGGATGATGTGTACTGACGTTTCTAAGCGGACGATTTTTGCCAAGGTAAAGTCATTCAACTACCACATACTTCTCAACTTGATTCTTGTATTACTCACAAGGAAGTAGTGTCTTCAGAGCCAAATATTGTCGCTGTGCTTTGCACCTTCTGACTGTGGTGACACGATCGTTTTTGCGAACCATTTTACGAAATATCTATATGTATTTAGCAGACTTTGAAGTTGATTCACTTATTCCTTACCATTTTGCCGAATTTAGCCAGATTGCTACGAGATGTGTGTTAAAGATAATATGCTTTCATCAGCACTTCGTTGATTAGTGACGTCAAACTATTTGTTTATAAACCCTTTAAACCCTGAGAATGACAGCATCTTATTTCTCCTTACAGTAGTATGGCTGAATCATTCATTAAGATCATGAGAATAAAGGAAATGATCGCCACCCATAGAAGCTTTGATTGTCAAACAAATTCTCCTTGTCAGTACGAGAGGAAATGTATAGAGAAGAGTATGGAAAATATGGATGTTGATGTTAGGGTGCGAAGCGTTAATGCACAGAGCAACTACAGTTTTGTGATAGCACGTGAACTTAATTTGGATTCTCTGTAACTAATATTCACTCATTTCTGATGTCAATTCCCCATGCACCTACTATTGAAGCCTGAGTTTTTCCAAACTTCATATTTGCCTTTACTCAAATTGCAGCTAACCCACCAGGATCATAACTTCACTTGAATTTTGTCCAGAGTTCAAAATAAAATTTATTCCTTTAAAAAAAAGTGTGATCAGATTCCTCATTGAGAACATAAAACCCACTCAAATTTATCTTGCTCCCAGTGGGTAGTGGCCCTTAACTAGCATCTGGAAGGTTTAGGTTAAACTTCTATTAATGCCTGAATTTTTCAGGCTTATGCTTTGCAATTGCTTAATTGCAGCTGACTTGCAAAGATCATTTCTTTGCTATCACATCAAATCCCCGTGTTAGACTGCATCTCAGACTTTTGATTTATTTGATGGAAAAAACAATGAGTGAATTGTGATCAGAAATCATTAACAACAATTAGCAACAAAAAGTTGTAAAATTTATAAATCTGGCTGGGTTTAAAATGAACAGGAGGCTGCAGTGGCCTTGACTTGGGCTTCCCTCTTTGATAGGATTATTGTTAAACAGAGTAAAAAGTAATGGAGAAACAAGAAAACAATTAACAGCAACAAGTGATTCTGTGAGTTGTTGGAAGCTCTTGGAGCAATCTCATCAAGAGAGAGCAAAACATCTCACATTAGTTATTTTAATCATTTCTCACCTTTAACACACAAATTTTCATCTTAAAACTTTTTTAAGTATTGTCAAACAAAGAATACTTTGAGTTTAGGTGCAAAACCAACACTATTGTGAATCAGCTCAATTGTTTACAATCTGATGTGAAACACAAGTAGTGGCAACACTGAAAGGTCATTGGCTGATTGATTTGTTTCAATTTATCTTATTTCCACATAAGAGTCTGGAGTGTTTGTACATTGAACCTTTTTTTGACACTTAACCTTTTAACTCCCAAGATCTCATTAGTAATTCTCCTCACTGTCTGCCAAATGATTCTCATTATATCAGTTTGGAGAATTTGGTGTCAGATCAATGAGTAATCCTATAATTGATATTTTTCTTTATTCTCATCACTTGTCTGCATGATAGTGGAGCTCGCAGAGTGTAGCTTCATAATTATACAAAATAGTAGTAACCCTTTAAGCCAAAAAAATTTGGATGTATGACTGTACGGTCGTACGACCGTACTACCATACAACCATACAAGGTGCTACTTTTAACATGTGTGGTCAACTGCAGGCACGCCAACACCACAGCTTTGTTCAGTAGTCCAGTTGTCAGTGCACTGGGCTCCAAGTTGGATGATCCTGGTTCTAGGCCAGGCCAGGGCAAGGCGTTGTGCCCTTGAGACGTGTGGGGAAAAAAAAATGCAAGCTCTGCTTTTAGGCTTGGCTAAATCTATATATTATTCTGTAGATGTAGTAAAGAGAAATTCTGTCTTGGTTACTCATGGGGGTTAAAAGGTGAAACAGAGCTGAGTAATCATATATGTTTTTTAAAATTGACTGCTATATATCTCTAATTTCACTCAATAAAAATAAAAAGGAAACCTGCAGTCACAACTATCAATTGCCAGCAGGAGAAAACTCTGTAAACAAAGATAATTTGAAACATAAAACATAATTTTGAGCCATCATGAACATCAAAGTGCTTGTACCCATGTTAAGCTGCACCTCAAACTTTTATTCAATTTTTTGATACAAAACTGCGTCCTATCTAAGGGAAAATATAGTGTGTACAGTTACATATCTTCCTTATTTCTATGGAGTGAAGTTCCTATAGAAACAATTAAAACATGACATCATTCCAGTGGCTTCTTGTTTTGTCTTCAAAACAAAAATGATTGATTAAGCATTGCAAACTGTCAATTGCAACATGTGTGGGTACGCAACTTTTCTTTATGACCAGGACTGCACCGGGCGATGGAGCTGGCCTTGTTACCTCTGTGTTTTGGACAAAGTTGACAAAGTTGTTTGTAGCATTTGATTTAAAATAAAGGGTGCTTTAAGAGAGGAATTGACCTTAAAATAATTAAAATTATGCACAGGTCTGTGACCAAACTGTGCAACTGGCACACCTCCCTACCTTGTGTGAAGGCCTTTTGTCCATATAATTATCATCAAATAATGCAAACTTGCTTGCTGATTAAATGTATCTGCTGAGTAATAATACATAATATATATAATAGTAAGTCATGATAACTTGGTTTTGTTACAGGTACAGTATGCAGTGATCAATTGAAAGCTTCAACATGTTCCCCCAGGTAGCCCCCTCCTGTGTAACCCTTCAGCCACTTAAATTTTTTAAGACTGGCTCATTCAAATTCCTGCCCCCCCTCCTGGGCCAAAATTGTGTACCAATACCTGACACAAGTGTGGATTTGATCTTCCTTTTTCTAGAATTAGGGCCAGTAACTTTCTTGTGGACCTCTCTTTCTGAGCCGTATGCTGTGAACTTTTTAACTTTAAATACCTCCATATTAAAAGATAAAATGTGTAGATTCCACTGGAGAGACTCTTCTGGTTCAAATTCCCCACCCCACCTAGGCAAGGTTCAAATTCCCTAATCCATGGGCACAAATGACAGTCAAATACCCATGGGTTGCCCAGGGCTTGGGGGAGGGGGATAAAGCTTCAAACTGGCAGGCACATCAGAGTTTTATTAAGTTTTCTCTAATAATTATGTGTTTATTTTAATAGGTGACATGTCTTCATGAATTCAGCAACCCCACTGTGTCCTTGTAAGAAAGGAAAAGATAATTATGCAAGACTGTGTTATGTTCTTATTGAGGTGGGAACACTTGTGCTAACAGAGATCTTTAACAAGGTGTGTTCACCAAAAAAACTTGAATTGCTTCTGAAGGATTACAAAATTTATAGCAAACTATCAAGTCTTCGAAAGAGGAGGGTCCTGAGTGTAAGCCAGTGGTCAAAACTGTATCCTGTTGTCAATTCATCAGTTTCCTCAAGAGACTTTGACTCCTCTTTACAGCTTCTTCTTCTGAGAACAATTCTTGGTCTAAATCTCTCAGTCACTGGCCAGGAAAACTTTCCTCCAGTGACAGATACTTCCCCAATTGCTGGCATAACTTGCTTGAAAGTCCTTAGGGACAGAATTCACCATCATGACACCAGCGGATCAGTGGATGATACAACTTTCAGTTCCCACTGGTCTGACATCAAAGAAATCATCATGAGGTTTGGAGGGCGCTGGTATTTGGATACTATCAATGGTCTTGAAGTTGATCCTTTGTATGAAGATCTTGCAGAAGATTATCAAAAACGGTTGAGAGAGTGGTTGAGGGATGATGCCTTCACCAAAGACAAATTAGAAGAAGGTAAAACAGTGAAGAAGGCCAGGAAGGAAGAGGACATGGAGGGTTTAATTGACATTTCTAAGCAAATTTCAGGAATGGAAGGTCTGTGTAATATTTTAGTAGATACTGAGTCTTTAAGTCACTCTGGTGTATCAACAGTGTTTGAGAATTTCATTCATGGCTCATTAAAGGCAAAGTATGTGCCAGAGACCTTAGGAATTTTTTTCTTTGCCATTTAAAAAGCATTCATTTGAGAATCAAAACAACAAACTGATGTTTTGTAAAATTGTCTACAAATGTGCCAAATCCTGCAATTGGAAACCCCACCATTTGGAATCTTGCTTCATAACATGGCTGCTTGTTTGTACTTGAGTTTTAGCAAAGTCTTGCCCCCTTTTATTTTTAAGCAGTTTGTTTCAACTATGAGGAGCTACACAAAATGTATTCTTAAGTAAATCATATTTTTGAGGTTTAGTAAGCAACCTCCTGCAGTCAAATTTTCAGCAAATTTAAAGAAACTTTTAGAGTGGTTTTTTTTTACTCATTGGAATCTTAAACAATTGTTAGAGGTAAATTTTTATATCATTTTATTAAGTGGAGGTAAAAATCATATTATGGTTCCTGAAGCACACTTCTTTGTTAAAGTGGAGGAACTGTCTCATTTTTTTTTGTGAAGTCACAGTAAAGTTATTTGTCAGACTAGCATTGTTACTGAAAACAGTTTTTGAACTGTACTTAAGAAAAAATCCTTCACAAACAATGTTACATGTATGTACACATGTGGTCAGTATGTAGTATTTTATTTTGTCATTTAAAATCACATTTTTCTTTTTCAGAGTCAAAACTTAATAATCATGCACATAATGGAGCACCAGAGAGTTCCAAGATCAGCCCACCAGAGCTCAGTTTGGCCATTCCAGAGATTTCTCAGCTTTCTTTTCTCTCTACTAATTGGGAAAATGTTGAGCTCCCAGTTGATATTTTGTTATTCACAGTCAGAAAGGAGGAGTTTTTATCGTGTTTTGGCTTCCTAAAGAATCCTGTTATGAGGAGTTCCCGTGGCTGTATTGGTATTGTATACTTTAGTTCCATGGAGGATGAACAGGGAAACAAAATTAAAATTGCATTAATGCGTTGTTCCAAAGGTCATGATGGTCCTGGAGGAGCTTTGTCTGCTGCAAAAGATGCCATCTTTCTTTTGAGGCCCAAGGTTTTATTTTCTGTAGGTGCGTGCAATGGTGTTAACAGATCAAAGGTCAAGTTGGGAGATGTAGTTGTGTCATCAAAGCTGAAAATACATGGATATCTAATTTCACCCATGAGAAATATTAATAATCTTATCAGTAATATAGGAGATGGATGGAGAGCACCTTTGCAAAATGCAAATGGGTATAAACCTGAGATCCACTCGGGAGTGTTTCTTTGTGTCTCAGAGGCAAACAATGACATAATTAGCGGATGTACTGAAGCAATTGCTGTTGAAAAGGAAGGTGGAGGTGAGAATCATAATGATTATAAAGATGAGCTAGGGAATTTTCAGCAGTGTATCAAATTTCCCCTTCCCTTTTTTAACATGTGGCCTGTGGGAAGTGATTTCAAAAAGACTGTTCTGGAATTATGTTTGCTGGTCTAAGAAATGATGTACACTATCATATAAAACAAGGACTTTACAGGAATATATAATGTGTATCATTAGTGATTTTGTGTCAGGCTGCAAGACCCTTTTGCTGTTCAGGGTGACTGAAATGACATCTGTCACACATAATTAGTTTAAATGGCTGAACAAAAACAAAGAAAAAGGAAAATTTTTATGTTCTCAGCATTTTAAACCTATTGTTAGTTGGAATTTTGTAAGCTCTATCAGGTAGTTATGAATTGTCCAAAATTGTCTTCTGAAAGATGTAGGAGGTATCATGTTAAATAGGTTGAAGCATGAGGAATAATGTAGCAGTCCCTGATAAGCCTTTATCAAGAGTTTGTCTAGTGAAAATGTAGTTTTACTTTACAGTCTCTTTACAAGGTTTTTTAAATCATCAGATTCAGAAATTAGCCTCAGGTATGACTAACTTTCCCTGAAGTTTGTGTTTATGTATATTAAGAGTGCCAATCTTGGTGAACTTTGATTTCGAAAAAGTGATTTTAATTATTGAAACTATAACCAATACAAACAAATGTTTGTCTCTTCTTTCAGGAGTTTGGACTGCAGCCCATGACCATAAAACAGAATGGCTGATAGTAAAAGGAATTAAAGGCTTTGCAAATGATAACCAGTCTTACAATAAGGATTGGAAAAAATTTGCCTGTGTGATGGCAGCATCAGTTGTGGCCAACTTATTAACTGATCCAGTCATATTCCAAGATTGGCCTCACTTCAATGCAGGTATTACATCTTTTCTAAGTCTTTGTTTTCTTTTGACAGAGAAAGATCTAATTTTCTTATCTTCCTGCAGCATATTCTTGTATGTATTGCAAATAAAGGTGGCTTATTCCTATTTGTATCACTTCTAATAAGTTGTACTGGATTGAAAACCAACTCGGCGATGTTTCTACTCAATTTTGCACGTCGGCGAGTTGGCGTTGGCAAGTTGAACCGTCGGCAACTTGACCGTAATTCATAGATGCTTTTATGAGCTTCTCCCATTTATCAGGGTAAGACCAAGAGTTCAAGGTCTGTATTCTCTCAAAAGCGTGCATTTTAACTCTTGTGTCCTTAAAAGAGCGTGAAGTAAGAATCTGTAGGGCTAAACTATTTGTCCTTGTATTTACATTATTTATGAAGAATTTTTCCATATTTTTTCAGCCACAAGTCCCTGCTCTGCAGCCTCAACAGCATCTGCCTCTAAACCCGTTTGTGCTTGACTTAATTTATCCTTCCTTACATACCCTTATGATTATGCATTCCATTTAAGTCAGCATAGTGATTTGTTGAAATAGTGTACTTTTCATCTTTTTGCTGAAATAAAATGTTTAGTGTATATGTTTACAAAAATTATTTTGTACATTATCATCATCATCTAAGCTTTATCCTCTTAAAGGATTTGAAGTTACTAGTTGTGTGTTTTTGTGGTTTTTTTTAAGGTAAATCTAAATTCAAGTAAGTATGTTCTTGGAAATTTGAATCATTTCACCTTGTAATGTGGTGTTGGATTGGCCCATATAGTAGAACCTGGCCAACTTGAACTCCCAAGCGAAATGACAAATAAGAGTGCATGTGGCTACTGACATAATACATTTTTTATGGCATTGAAATGAACTAGAGGTTGTATAATGACGCTAGAAGGTAGTGTGGCAAGAGATTTGTCATCACATGCAAACAGGAAACCTGCCCCATCCCACATATTTATGAGTGCCCTTTTCCACAAGAGCGAGATGATTCAAGAATATACATGTAGTGACTAATCGACATTCAACTAACAATTAAACGATAACAAATAATTATATCAGCAACAATAATTGTTTCGTTAAAAATGGATGAGAATCACGTGATTCAGAACATTGATTGACATTTAAGCTTTGTACTTTACATCACATTCCAGTCAGTAAATCAATTTCAAAAGGAACGGTTTAGTCCCCCCCCCCCCGTTTGTACGTTTTCCGAAAATTCCAGTATAGCGAGCAAAAACCTATCGTCACAAACCTGAAGCCAACGGCCCGCCACAGAAGTAAGTAGAATATTATTGTCAAATTATATTTTTGAGCAGAGTCAAATCATTGTATGAGAATTTAGTTATACATTCCGTATTTATTCGCCTATAAGCCGATCTCGGCTATAAGCCGCGACCCTAAACTTTTTCATGTCAGCAGCTGTTGCATTGAAATAAAAAATAAACAAAAAACATTCGGCTATAAGCCGAGACCTAACAATTGCAAAGTACTCCACGCGTGTCGTTAACTGAGATGAATTAACATAAACCGAAAACAAAAGGAGCTTCCCTCTCGGGAAACATGCAACCAAAAAGTAGGTTATGAATAAACATAGATCATTCTAGATCGCTAGAGATTACGGAATCAGTGAATCGATGGTGCGTCGCTGGCGAAAAGATCAAGCGAACCTGTTTAATGGTGAGCTTAAAATGTCAGCAAAGCGAAAGACGATGGGCTGCTTTTCGCCAAAGTATCCTGAATTGGATCAAACACTACTGGACTGGTTTTCAGAGCAGAGGAGTCAAGGTAAGTCTTTCGTTTCTTTAAAACAATGAAAAGCTTCGATCAGCTGATATCTGTCAGATCGTGTTGCAATGTTTACACAAACCGTGGGAATGACCGCTTCTGATTGGCCAGTTTTTCATGTTGTCACATTTCGAATTTTGTTAAGCACCCGTAAATTTTTTTTGGCGAAAATACTCGGCTATAAGCCGAACCCCCTACCTTGGCGAGAATTTACCTGTTCTCAGTTTAATTTGTTGGAAAAATCGCTCGGCTTATAGGCGAATAAATACGGTAGTTACAAACGATTTTGTATTGTCCTTTTGCTAGATCGAATAATTGCAATATAATCCCAATAAATAACAATCAAATTATATGATTTATGGTGGATCAGTTCGTCGCCATCGCTTTCTAAGCGGAACAATAATAATAATAATGATAACAATAGTAATGCTAATTTATCATGTTTATGGGGCCTAGCTCAAGGACCTCACTGTTCCTCTATCCTGGAGGCTTCAACAATGTTTAAACTATACTGATTCTAATGTTGAAGTGCTTTCTCTTCAAAGAAAATTTTTTCCTCCAAGTTTTCATGATGTGCCTATCACATTTTTCAAGATATTTTTGTGAGGAAAAGTTTTGTTTTTAGTCCCTTGCTATCCTGAAATGATTGTAAGATGTTAATTGGCTTCAGCTATCAAAAATGAGACTCTGTCCAAAATTAGAATTCAGACACTAGCGTTCGAGTTTTGATTTGGACACTAGTGTCTCATTTTTGACTTTGAACGCTAATGTGCGATTTCTTACTTTGGACACTATTGTTGGACTATTGAGTTTGGATACTGGTATCTAATTTTTGACGTAAGACATTAATGTCTGATTTTTTATTTGAAACACTGATGTCTGATTTTTTTATTTCGGACGCCAGCATCCAGATTTGGGGATTTAGAACACCAGAATCTGATTTTTGACTTGGACACCAGTGTCCAAATGTGACTTTTGAGCACAGGTGTCCAGTTTTGATTTTTGTGACGATAATTTTTTCTCACCCCAAACTGGAGAACTGACTCTTTGCGGACGGCACTATAACAACTGGGGGAAATAACTCTGTAGAGACGACTTAGCAGCGAGAACGGAAACTCGTCACGATTTCCTGGTACACGGAGACCTACTTCTAGTAAGCTTGTACGGACGTCAAGGATAAGACAATCTTTGGTTCCACAGTACTTTTATTCTAGGTCAGGCCAACAAGCGACATGACCTCTAGCATACTCTAGTTTGTAATCATCAAAGCTGTACAAGGTACTTGCTTAAGAAGTAACTGGTGCGAAGTGCTATTGTTACACGAATCGCAATATTTGGATAAGGACACAAAGGAGCGGAAAAAAAGTCTCTTTGAAGCTAAACAAAAACTACTTAAATATTCCATCTGTTTCCACGACGGAAAGAATCTCAAAATTAAAAAGACGGATGCAATAAACTCTAGGCCATTAAAGTAGGAAACCTAGGTGCGAATTTACAGCTCTGATATAGAAAACAATACCTATCTTAATTGCAGCAGCGCAGCTTAGGAAATAGAAAACGGAAAAGCAATTAAAAGTTTCTGCTTATTTGCGCAAGATTGGTTTGGAAACCATCGCATGAAAAGAAATTAGATTTACGCGTAAAAACTCAGCTGCTATCTACCATGAAAACAAATGTTTCCAGAAAGACCATTAACACTTACATTTACCTAAAAAAAACCCATGTACTAGATGACAAAAGTGCCGACAAGCAGGTGCATATGATGAAAGCGAGTAACAACAAAAATCTATTCAAAAGCTACTGTGGTTTTTATGCATTTTTTGATTTATTGAAATGAAAGGACTTGAAATGGTTAAATGTGAAAGTTTACGAATAAATATGTTCGGAATAACACACACGGGAAAATCAGTAAATTTTCCCGTAACATTCCTCCCACCTTAAATCGAGACCTCCTGGTCGAGAAAAACTCCTAGAAACTTAGAGGTCATAGTGACCATTGCACTTGGCATTTTTATAACCATTAACTCGAGTTAAAGCAATGTTTCTCTTCTTGCATGCCCTTATGTCGTATTTCTTACTTCGCGTAATCTTCTATTTACTAAGGAGTTGTTAACTTACTTCTTGGAAGAATTTAAAAAATTACAAGTTAACAATCGTCTTGATCCTATCTTACTTCCTGGTCAACAGCTAAGTAGTACTCTCTACTTGTTGCTAAAGTCAGTCATGGGTCTGAGGATAAGTAGTCTTCCTAAGTGCATCATGAACTTAGGCATTTCCATTCCTGGAGGTGCTTCTTGATATTGATCAAATCCCTCGTTAGATTCCATTCTGTAATCAATTTTGGCTGGGGTATCAGAAAGATCGCCTTGGTGCCAAACCTTTTGTGACACCTGTGCGAATGAAGGTGGTGGTTTTTGGATAACAGACCTGAAGTTACCATTTGCATCGGTGTGAAATGTTGCGGACAGGGACACGGCAATGAGCACTAATATCAACAGTGACTGGCTTAGTGCCACTTCTTTGTTCTTTGGATAACGGGAAGGTAAGTTTCCTACAGGAGGCTGCACTGAACCTTCACTTGGAGGGGCGTGTCCATTTCTTCTGACATTCTTTTCTTGAGGTTTAAACGTTTCTGTCAAAGGCACTGAGGCTGAACATGCTTGCTCTTGTTGATTGGCTGATTCTTTAAGAGTAATGGTGTTATTATCGAGGTCAATCATAGCTCTGTTTACTTGGAGGAAATCGCGACCAAGGATGGCGTCATAAGCAAGGTTTTGCACGACTTGGAATTCACAAGGGAACTGACTTTCCTTAAGATATAACGGCAAGGTAATTCTTCTTAGCTGTAGGTTGTCTTTCCCAGTCTGAACTGTGGAAAAGGGAACGTCACCGTAGATCTCTTTTAAAACTTCTTCTTTTATAGCTGAAACGCTTGCACCAGTATCCAACATTAGACGAACAGGTTTTCCTGCTATTTTACCTTTAGTGATCAGGTTCCTAGGGTACGTGTCTGCTTCATTTACGAGGGGTAGCTGGACACTTGACTGATTTGACATTTGTAACTTTCTTGGCTTCTGGTTTGGATTTCTCGGCTTTCTACTCTGGTCACTGGTTCGTGTCGGCTTCATCTTCTGTAATAAATTAGGGTCGTTTGTGGCGTTTTCCTGACTCTCGAGTTGTGATGCAGTCCCTTCAAC